CAATAATAGGGGTAGAGGGGTTGTGAACCCCCCATTAACATGTCCCTTGCTCCAAACTATCATTCCACAAAGTTTGGTTGAGATTGGCCCAGCAACCTAGGAGTAGCTAGATGAGGAACAGACAGACACACAGAGTTGGTGCTTTATATATATATATATAGATACTGTGTATTCTGTCTTTCTTAACTAATGCTGTGCTCATAATGAATTGATATCTACAGCATGTGACATCATCAAATGGTGCTAGGAGCCATGCATTTCCAGTGTTATTATATTTCCTATTTATTTTGTATTATTTGTAACTTGATTTCTTTTTTTATTGATATGATGATTATTAGCATATTAGAACAAACCTAAGTATCTTGGGCTGGCTGAACCTCATGATATATAATGAGTTTATAGTCAAAAATACCTTTAAAAGTGAGAGTACTCAATCTATGAAGCAATGCATTCTAATTGTTAGAAGTAATGTAGTTTGAACATTATATTTACTTAGTTACACTCATTACTAGGTAGATATATTTTAGTTCTGATCTATGTAAGTAACTTGCTTTCATCAGAAGTTAGCATTAAAAGTTAAACACTTTTGTCTGCTCTCTTCAATAACAGCTGTAGCTTTTGAACAAATATTCAACATTTATACTTTAAACAGATTTTTAAAAATTTCAAATTCTTTTATTTCTTTCTGTTTCAGTACATATTTTGAGCATTCAGAAATTTTCTTAATGGGGTATGACACCTTCAACATATTAATGTAGTCTAACTATAGGGATACTTTTGTAATAAACATCAGTATATTTTATCATCAACCACTGCATCATGACTTAGTATTTGTTATAACATAACAGAATATAATTTTAACTTGTATCCATCTATTAGAAGAACAAGAGAGTACCAAAACGTCTTCAAAATATATAGAATCATTTAAGAAGCATAAATTTTAAATGCCATGAAATGACTTTCAGTACTATATAATAGACATGCACTTATTAATTCGTGAAAACTCTAAACATATTTTAATAATGACATAGTTTTTTAATTATTATTCACTGTAGTTTCTTACAATGTTTTATTTTAATCATGTTAATTTTCTTGGACTTCTGTTGGTCCAAACCATGACGTGCTCCATAACATTTAAGACAACTAGTTCCTCCAACTCATAACATATTTTTTAATTAATTAAGTAATATGCCAAGTGTATCTCATTTGTTCACATTAAACTTATTTTTACCAAAATTGAAATAAAAGTATTTGAAAATTTCCTTGAGAATCTCTTGTTGATCTTGTTGATTAACTAAATATTTATTGGCTGACCCAGATCCAGGTTTCTGTCCTACCATAACATTCTTCAGTTAATAATTATATATTTGTTTTCATTAAAGCTACTGGCATAATTTCTAATTTAATTAAGTAAAGAACAATATGTACACCATCTAGTATAGAACTGACATGCTACACTTATTTTTATTAAATGTCCATACTTGTTACATCCAGTAGCATCTTATTGATATAACTTCCAATCACCCAGAATCCTTCCAAGTTGACTACAGCAGTTAATTCCTTAAACAACATGCTGGCAGATCCTTCATCTGTTTGTATCATTAGGCTCCATATGTCAGAATAAGGTTAACAATTTAAATTTGTTAATGAATTTTTTATGGGTTACATTCAGGCTGCTCCACTGCTTTCTCTTTTAACATTGGCAGTATCCTTTAGTGCATTGTCTGTTTCTCATGACAGTATTGGTAACTTACATTGGCTTTACTGTATATACATTCTTCACAACATGCTGTCACTGCACTGTATATTGTAGCCTGCTTCTTGTAAGTGTTAATAATGCCTGCTCATATGTCACAGATTTTATAAACATGATAACCATGCATTTCTTTTAGTCTTGTCATTAAGCTATACTTGTTGTTGTTGTTTGGCTTTTACTAAGTATTCACATTTTTAAGGTCCCAATCTATGTATCATTGTATGTCATATTCTCTGATACACAATATATCTAACTTAATCCATTCTAATTAATACAATCCCAATTCTTTCTTTATCTACCATATTTAGTGGGCATAGCTTAAAGCCAATCAAGAAGAATACTTGTCCTTTTTTGTGTCTGTTGTAACATAAATCATTTTTTAATCAAAATTAATAGTATTTAGTTATCAGTTTTTGCTTGTTATTCAAACATTCTTGTATTTATCTTGTACCCTTGTATTTATTCTGGTAATTTTCTGATCTCTACATTAGAGACATGTTATGACCAGGTGGCTAGGGTGCTCGACTCACAAAATGTGGGTTGCTTGTTCGATTCCTGTCACAACAAACATGCTCGCCCTTTCAGCCATGGGGGCATTATAAGGTGATGGTCAATGGTTCATTGATAAAAGAGTAGCCCAAGAGTTGGCAATGGGTGGTGATGACTAGCTGCCTTCTCTCTAGTCTTTCACTGCTAAATTAGAGACAGGTAGCACAGATAGGCCTCGTGTAGCTTTGCACAAAATTCAAAACAAACAAATAAACAGAGACATGTTAATGAATACCTGTTTATAAAATTATATCTGTTGATTGTCTACTATATCAGTGCATTTTTAATTAGCTAATTTTATTAATTGGTTATTCCTTATTCAGTTTTGATTCCATCTGACAAGAGAAGCTGTATCCTGATAATTTTGATTTTTACTTTAACATGACATTAAAGAACAACTTGGGACCTTTTGTTCTATCTAGGCTATCCTATCCATTAAAGTAAACTAAACTCTGACAAACTCAAAGGCATTCCTTATCATTCAAATATTTATCAAGCTTTCTATTAAACTCCTTTAAATGACCTGCATCTACCACATCTGATGGCAATCTATTCCAAGTACAACCATCCTGTTAGGAGAATAAAACTTAGCTGAAGATGACTTCTAACCTGCAAAACTTTATGTTTGTATCTCCTGTTCTTATCAATTTCACCATTAAATATAAAACAAAGATGCTGCATCAACACTATCAATTCTCTTAACAATCTTAGACACCTCAATCAGATCCCCTCTAAGTCTTATTTTTTCAAGAGAAACACGTTTAGAGATTTTACCTATCCTTATATGACAACCTTTCCATCTGAGTATGATTGTAGTAGCTTTTCTCTGAACTCTTTCCAACAATTCAATGACATTTCTGAGGTAATTAACCCAAGACTGAACACAATATTCCAAATTTGGCCTAACCAGTGACCTATACAATGCAGTTATACCCTCTTTAGACTTGTATTCAATATTTCTGAAGCTACAACTTAAAATCCTATTTTCCCTGCCACTAGTAACAGCACAATTCTTGATTAAGAGACTGATTAACCTCTACACCAAGATCTCTTTCTTTTATAACACTGTTAAGATTATTTCCATCAAAATATAAACATAATTCAAATTGTTATATCCTACATGTATTACCATGCATTTTATTAGAACTAAAAGTCATTTATATATTATTTGCTCAACTCCCCAAATAATCTAAATCCTTTTGTTAAGCAGCAGCATCCTTACAGCCAGCAACACCCAGAACTTTAATGTCATCAGCAAATTTAAGTAATCTATTGGCCATTCCTTTATCTATGTTATAAAAGTAAATCTAAAAGAGCAAAGGTTCTGAAACTGAGCCCGGAGGTATCTCATTTGTGACATTAATTGAATTTGACTGAACTCCATTTATAACAACCATCTGCTACCTTCCATCTAGCCAGATTTTTTAGTCCAATGAGCCAACCTTTCCCTCACACCTACAGAGATAACTTTTTTAACAAGCCTTTTATTTGGTACCCTATCAAATGCTTTCTAAAAATCCAGATACACCATCTTTACACCTGTACCCTTATCTTCATAAGAAATATCCTCTTCAAAAAAAAGTCAGAAGGTTAGTAAGGCAAAATTTTTCTTAGTAAAACCATTTCGACTATCCAACAAAATTTTAAATCTTGTAAATGACTTAGTAAGTTGTTTAGTTTAACCTCTTAAGTCGCTTTAAACAGGTAACATTTTCATTATTTTTATTTTTTTAGAACTCTTGAGCTTCTACATCTTCAAACTTGAAAGCTTTTCATGAAATTGATAAAACATTATGCTTAATAAACTAATTACTACACATAATGTTAATAGTACGAAGTCTATAAAACTAGCAAGAAGGACCTGCACTTGTTTTGCTATAGAAACCTCATTTTACCTTATTGCTTTTGGTAAGAATTATAGTGAAGCTGGTGGTGTTGCTACTGTACAGCTGTATAATGAATACTATTGGATTTACTGTTAAGAGCTAAGATACTTCCTATGGATCCTTAAAGATGGTGAACACAGTAGATAGCCAAATGTGAATGGATTCTTAAAGATGGTGAACACAGCAAATAGCCAAATGTGACTTTGACCTAAAACAAAAACAAACAAAACAAAGAATTAATTACTACCTATATTTTTTATGATAACTTCCTGGTTATTTCACTAGGAAAATAAAAAACAAAGCTATTACTTGTTATTTATTACAGATGTATTTCCAGATAGGTTAATTTTAATCATTAAATATCCAGACAAGCTAGGTTTGTGCAAAATATTTTTCTCCACAGTGACATGCACATTGCAGAAAAAAAATTATGAATTTATAATTCTGTTTTTACACATATGTTTTGAAGCTGCAATAGAATTGTACAACACTAGTTTTACAGACTGTCATTAAAGCCATGAGTGTAGGATTAATTAAAGATATTAAACAATTAAGAACTTATTCAGTACTTCATGCTTACCTCTGTAAAATACAATAACTCTCCCAGAAGCTTAAAACTGCAAGGAATCATTTAAAAATATGTTCCATAATGCATCAAATAAACAATACTTTTGTCAGCCTTTCACCCATATCTTTAAAATGTTATTATTCTGACCTATATATAAATATATGTTGTAGCATTACAAGATACACTGTTTATGTGTTAGTGAAAAAAATGTGTATTTATTTAATTAATTCTTATGACCTAGGCTTGGAGTATCACCTATCACAGTTGGTTGACTTTTGTCCTCCTTTTGTGGTCCTGTGTTGTCTGGATGTTGCCAAACTCTCGACAGGCCTGTTTATATTCATCACCATTCTTTGTGGCCTATGCTGAAGCCTTATTACTCTTGCAGTACATTTATGGCCTTAATCTCAATGACTCTGAGTTGCCAGACAAGAATGAAACAGTCAATCTTGAACAGATAGGCTTAACAAAGTACTATGATCTCTCTTACCAGCCTCTGGCTGTGAAGGTAAGCATATTTACTATCAGAGAAAACAAATGCATTTATGTAAAACAGAAGGTTTTGTTAAATTATGGTTAACTTCCATTCAATTTTTTTTAGAGGTAAAAGCTAATACGAATCTGTTACAAGTGCTTACTTTAGCTGTTGATTTAAGGTATGTTGATTTGTAAAGTATAATAATTTCTTTTAAACTTCTCTGGGTGTAGATATAAGTATGTTTCTAATTTTGTTTATGTATAATAAATCTGCTTTAGTGTGTTCTCTTACTTTACTTTTATGGTGGACTATAATGTCAATATTTGGATTAACACTGTAATATAATAAGGCTAAAACATTAAACTGAAGGAAAAATAACATTGAAAATATGGCTTCAAAAAGGAATAACATCAAATGGAGTGATGTGAAATTAACTTCTGGTATATTAACTAAGGTATATTGGGTACAGTGTTGATAGTAATAACCTTGAAAGGAATAACCCCAACTGAAATATGTTGAAAAGAACAACAAAGAAAGGACTGTCCATTAAATTGAATTATAGTTATCTGTTTGACCAACAGGTGCTATTTTTAATGAAGGCTTCTTTAATTATTAAAGCAATGAGAGCAAGCACATTGAAGTGATTGATCAATTTAAGAATTTTTGTAATGTCCTTCATTCTCTAGCATCTGATGCTTACCAATGTCATGATAAAGATACATGAAGCGACAAGGGAGCATCAAAAAAATTTCTTATAATACTTCAAGTGGACAATGTTTTTGTCAGCCTTGTGCCTATCCTGTTATTGCTACAGTAAATACTCTTTCCATTGCTGATAACTAAAGGTTAAGCATTGGTTCACTCTGCTTACAGAAACAGTCATCTGCAGGATATGCCAATTCACCATTCAGTGGTGTAGGAAGTGAGGTGGAGGGGTCACTTTTCAATCTGTTCCAGTAAATATGCATCAGAATTAGGAAAATTACTCTCAAGAAAAGCATGTAGAATGCATCAAATTTAATCCAGAACCCAAAAGCTTCCAGAGCCCTAAGGTGAGCCCTAGACCCTGGCTGCAATGGGTTCATCTGTGGCACACATTCCCTCACTTCTCTCAGTCTTTGAAATACAGGGTTACAGGAAATTTAATAGGGATAGAGTGCTAAAGAGTGGGGGAGGAATGGCTTTATATGTAAAATGTGAGTTATATTCTGTTAAAGTTGAGGATATCAAAGATAATAGCAAGGAGATTGAATCCATTTGGGTTTCTGTTAGTGGATTTAAAGGGAAAAGGCTTTTAGTAGGAATTTGTTACAGACAACCAAATGATATGGATAAAATTAGTGAGAAACATTACAATGAGATTGAGATTTCAGCTGTTAATGGGGTCATAATTTTGGGTGATTTTAATTTCAAGCAAATGAATTGGAAAATGTTAGTCAAACCATGAAGGAGAAAGGTTTTTGAAAACTGTTCAAGATAGTTTTCTTCACCAGTTGGTCAAGGAACCTGTTGGTAACAATACTATTTTAGATGTATGTTGAACTTCTAACACATAAATGGTTGAGGGGTGGAAATTGAGGAATATTTGGGTACAAGTGATTATTGCTGTATTAGGTTTGTTGTTTTGCTGCATCTGGAGATGAGGAATAATGATATTTTGGTTACAAATTTCATAAAAGCAAATTTTGAAGGGATGCGACAAGAATTATTTGTTGTGAATTGAACAGTTGAATTATTTGGAGACACTAATCAAATGAGGAAAACTTTTATATAAAAATTTTTAAATGTTCAAAATAAACATATTCCTTATAGAAAGAAAAGTGTGGCTGCAAGTAAAAAGCCAGGTTGACTCGCAAAGGGTATAAGAGATAAAATTAAAGAAAATCATCACAAATTTAAGGAATTTAAATTAACTAGTATGACAGGAGATTTAGATTATAGAAGATCAAGAGAGTTAGTGAAACAGGAAATTAGGACATCAAAAATGATGTTTGAAAAGGTTGGCTGAAAAAATGTAAAAATTAGCAGTAAGGATTCTTTATACATTAAGGGTAAACAAAATGTTAGGATGGGAGTGGGGCTTTTGAGGGATGATAAAGGAAGGCTTGTATCTGATGATTATAAGATGGCTATGTTATTAAATTCTGATTTCTGATACAGTACATCACCTCCTCTCACTTAAATAGCTCATCTTATTTAGTTCTGCCCTCTATATGTAAATAATATTTTATGCATGCCACAAGCCTTCTATCTCCCCTCCATTAGAATTGACTGATTCCAATGCATCTCTCATGCAAATCATCATGCATTAACCATTCCACCAATAATAGTGTGACAAATTCTCATGACTCATGTGACTCCCTCTATTCAATTCTACTGAACTACTACTTCTCGTTTGGCAGTACTCATATTCAGACATTTTTTCTTTTAGTGCTCTTGTGTGAATCGTGATTTTAATAGTTTAATTTCCAAAGTGGGATTTCTTTGTTATTATCATTTTTTTACATTGAAGAAATCTTTTAATTTAATTTAATTTCACAGTCTTTATTTTTTTCTCACACTCGCATATCTTACATTAAACACTTTTATTTAATTTATGTATTTCTACTATAAATTCAGAGGTTCATATTCCCACTTCAGATGTTATACCTCTAGCACTATTTTAACAGGCTGCAGGTGAGTTTGATCGTTTTATGGTAAACCTACTTCTCCTGAACTTGCCCCACTAATCCTCCTGAACATTCCAAACCTCCAAAACTGCTCGGGCTGATGAAGATTTGATAGCCTTTTTACACCATTTTTTTTGCAGTGTTTTACTCTACCCCTTCTGCACAATCAGCTAGGGCTAATACAGCATTTTTTGATATGATTTCTCAGGTATGTTATGTTTTATCCAATTTCCCGTTTTTCTATGATTCCTTATTACTTCCATGTTGGCTCATTTGTTGTCTTGCTTTACACACATGGTTTCACTGTAGTTGGGATTTTTTGGGTTGCAATGCAACTTTGTCCTGGGTACGTTTGCCACCTCTTTCTTTTCGGGATTTCTGTATATTTTCTTTGGTGACATGTTTTAGATCATGTATCTTAGACTTTGAAATCTTGTATGTAATCTTTGCATCAACACTCAACCTTTTTCTCTTTGGTTGTATGTTTGTTGTAGTTGGAGCCACGACATGCCCCTATTCCTTTCCTGTCTTGGTCCTTATCTACCCATCCTTGTCCCCTTTCTCTTCTCATCATTTTATTCAACATTGATGGGCATGTTGCCAACAGTACCGGAGACTAACCTGAAGGAAACAGGTACAGTGGGAGCTTGACTATATTATATTGTTACTCTTTGGCGATCTTTCACTACAGTTGCATGGGTTCTTTGGATTTTATCAGAGGGACTTTCCTACTATTTCTTTCCCCACTTCCTTTGTCCCTGGTACCCTTTTCCTTTCCCATGACATGAGTCTTGCCACAGCCTGCGTCTATCTTAGGCAGTACAAGATTTTCTGTCTCTACAGGCCTTTGCACCTGTTCATTATTTTTCTCCAGGCTTTTATTCCAGGCTATTTGTTGTCCTCACACCAAACCGGAGACTGGCGGCCTGTACTAGGTTTGACCAGCCTCATTCTAATTTTCATTCTGCCCCATTTTACCTTGGAGTTGTTTCTCACCCTTTATTAATGACAAAGAGGAATGTCGTGAATGCTTATTTGCATATCCTGATATTTTGTCACTTCTGACCCTCTCATTGGTTTATTATCCACAAGGTAGTTTCTCTGTTTTGCACACTACCCTTTGGACTTGCTTTGGCCCTGTCTGTTTCGTTGGGCATTTGTTCATCACTTATATGCTCTCAGGTTGTGCTTTCCTCTTTTTTGGTTGATTGGCCACTGTTATTGTTTGCTCGTTTCAAACAGGAGTCCACTTGTTATCTTTATCAGTTGCTCCTGTTAATCAAGTTGGAGAAGTCTTTACTGTGACCTATCCAATATTTTGTCCATTTGGGTGTTTTTCTTTTTCTACACACCTCTCAATCGGGCACATTCTTCTCCTCTTCGACTTTGTTTGATGAGTTTTCAGTTCGATTACAGTTTGTGAAGTTCTATCACTTTTTTGGGATGTGGTCTTCCATGGTAGCCCTTATCATCTTAGGTTAGGCTCATATGCAGGCTCTTTCGTGGGTTTTTCACGACCAGTGGAATTTTGCTGGGATCCTTTGTTGGTTCTTTTTTTACCCTTCCTCTTACCCTTGTTGTCCATTGCCATTGGTGGTTTGATATGACTCAGACATCAGCAGGTGTCCCACTTCCTTCTCCTCATCTGGTTATCTACATTTCATGGATGCATTCCTTCAGGGATGGGGGGCATGGGTTGATCAACTGGAAAATTTGGGGATTTTTGTTTACAGCTGAGAGGTCTTATCCTATCAATGTCCTGGTGCTTCTCACTGTAGGTTGTGCTTTTTTTTTTCAATTTCTCCATCTGGCCAGAAATAATTTGGTAATGATCCATTCTGATTTTTCTTCAGTAGCTGCTTATCTCAATCACCAGGGCAACACCCATTTTCCATCCCTCTGTATTCATACATTGATTTTTTCTTTTTAGCCCCACATGCTCGAGATTCCTATCATTGTGTGCTATGTTCTGAGTGCTTTCACTCTTGTCATGAATTGGATTCCTGTCCAGACATTAATCTGATGGAGTGGCCTCTCGATCCTTTTGTTTTCCAGAGGCTTTGGGTACTCCTCACATTTCGACTTTTGCTACATCCCTTAACCACATATTGCCTTGGTTTTGTTCTCTGGTTTGTCATCTTCTTGCTCTGGCTATCAATGTTTTCAGCTGGGATTGGACATACACATTTGTTTATCCTCCCATTCTCTTTCTTCTCCAAGTGATTTCGTTCATCCTTGACACTCTTGATCCTTTTTGTTTTCCAGAGGCCTTGACTTCAGTGGGGTACTCCTCACATTTCGACTTTTGCTACATCCCTTAACCACATATTGCCTTGGTTTTGTTCTCTGGTTTGTCATCTT